ACGAATCAGAAAGAAAATCCCATGGGGAGACAAGTTGCTCGCGCGGGTGTTAGGCACTATGCACGCACAAGTGCCTGTACAGTAGCCACGGGACGTGCACACAGTGTGCATGTTCCATCTGCACACACGCATGCATGGGACGTGCGCACAACGCGCACGGCCCATCCACGCGCATAGCGTGGGTTCAGGACTTACGCACGTCCTGGTGCTCCTGGTGCCTGCGCGCGACTGGAGGCCTGTGCGCTTGTAGGCTAGCCTGCAGCATGTCGGCCGGGGCTTTGCCAACTCAGACAGTGTGCCGTCGTTGCCTTGAGCGGTGCACTGCTGTCGCTAGTGGAGGAGGCCATCATCCCTCGTTTTTCGTGTCAAACATTTTTTTCTCTTCTCTCTTCACTAGATTTTGCCACTTGGTGCAAATTCGACGGTTTTAAAGCTCTATAAATTGCCTTTCCCTTTTTCTTCCTCTTCATACTATCATTCTTTCATTTTTCAAGATTTAGAGAGAGAAAGAGAGAAAGATAATAGTCTAGTGAGAGAAAAAGAGAAAGAAAGGAGAATGGTAAAGGAAAAAATATCGAGATTTTGATAAGAAATATAGTATTTCTTGCAACATCTTAAGAATTATTTTTAGATAAACTAATTTAAAATAATTGTTACTAATTTAAAAATATCGAGGTGCTCTTTTTTTGTTGGAACATATTTAGCAATATGTGCTTTTAAAGTTGTTGAGTTTGCTCTTCTAGAGCAATCTCTTAATCTTAAAGAGAAAATTCATCATTTTCTTATTTTATATTTATTAGTTGATTGTTATTAATAATAATCGTAGGAAGAATAAGTCGAAATTTTTTTAACTAGATCTAACCAGAATGATGTTGTATTCAGAGTTGATAAGCATAAAATGATGGTCAATATTTATTGAATTGAAGTGATGCCACACCTTGATTGCAACCATTTGTTTAGTTGAAAGAGAAGGTGAGAGAAGCCGAGTGAGCCATAGAGATAATTTCTGTGGAGATGAGGTTACCCGTTTACCTTTTAGAAGTAAACTGACTTGTTTTGTTCTTCATTATTTGTTTGTGTTGCGTTATCATATTTAGATAAAGAACTGATTATCTTGACATTTGTTATTTTATATTAATGGTTGAAACAAAAAAACAATGTTAATTTTATCATTTTATTCTTGGTTTGTGTTTCGAAATGATTTATTTAGATATTTTTATTCAGATTACAAATTAACATGAAAAATTATATGATAATAGATATAATTTTGTAAACTAAGTGCTTAAAATTTTAAAAGAAATTAAATTATCCAAATACAACATTTAAATCTATAGATATGAAACTTCTGATAATATGTTTTGTGTTTTTTGTTTAAATGCGCATTATTTTTTCAGGTGTGCCAAGTTATTATCTTATACAAAAGCATTTTACATATTACATCACACATTATAAAAGTTTACCATATCTTTCTTGTTGTTTGTTCACTCATCCACCATGAACCAAAGTATTCTTTAACTAATTGTTAACTAAGAGCTCAAAACCGTGCTTTAAATCAAGCTACCTTGCTAAGATGACTTTAATCTTAATTATTATTGTACCAGGTCATTTGTATATATAAGATGGCTACTTTTTACCTTTTGGAATGCTGTACTGCTTCAAACTAAAGGTGTGTTGTAATATCTCCTTCATCGCTATGCTTAAATGATTTGAAAATTCTATTTATTAGGGACATTGACCACGTTAAATTTAATTAATTTATTCTATTTAATATTTATCACAATTCGTAAATCTAATTAATTTTAAATTTTATTTAGCTTATTTAAATTAATTATAAAAAATTGAGAAAAATTAGAAAAATGACGAATTGAGAAGAAACTTTTGCGGAAAAAAAATCCTGCAGGGAGACAAGTTGCCCGCGCGGGTGCTAGGCACTGTGTGCGCTCACATGAGGGCACAGTAGCCATGGGACGAGTGCACAACGCACACGTCCCATTCGCACACACGCACGCACGGTACATGCTCACAGCGCCCATGTCCTATCCACTCGCACGACATGGGGTCAAGACTTATGCGCGTCCTGTTGAGCGCAGGTGGGCCACTCGCACAGCAGACCTGCGCGGATAGGCCCTGTGCACTTGGGGCCTGCACACGATAAGAGGCCTGTGCACCTGGAGGCGCGCTGCCAGCTGGGGCACTGCCACCTCGGGCAGTATGCTGCCATTGCCTCCGGAAGTGCACAACCGTCGCCAATGGAGGAGTCCTCATATCTCATTTTTCATACCAAACATCTTTTTCTCCTCTCTCTTCACCGAATTTCACCACTTGGCGCGAATCAGATGGTTCCAAAACGCTATAAATTGCCATTCCCCTTCCCTTCCTCTTCACACTTTCATTCTTTTACTTTTCAAGATTTAGAGAGAGAGAGAAAAAGATAGTAGTCTATTGAGAGAAGAAGAGAAAGAAAGGAGAACAGTAAAGGAGAAAATATCGAGGTTTCGATAAGGAATCTAGTATTTCTTTCGACGTCTTAAGAATTATTTTTAGATAAGCTAATTTAAAATGATTGTTATTTTCCTTATTTTTGTGTGTCTTTGTGTTCAGATTAGTCGAATTGTTCTTATTTTCAAGCATGCCATGTAAATTGCAGATACTTGATGAATTTGCATGTAATAAATATAATATATAAACGATAAGAGAAAAAATATATATATATATAAAAGAAAAGTGGAATGAAGTCTATATGGTCCGAAGTGTATCTGTATTGACATGCATTGCATTAAGTGTCTCGTTAACATTTTTATCTCTGAAGGGTATTTGTTCCCCTTACCCTTCGGGGTATCTATTTTCCTTGCCATTCGAAGTATTTGTTTCTCTCTCTCCTATCTAGTCTGAAAAGATGTAAGAGGACCGCTCCTAATGGATGACAAAGTATCCTTTGACGAGAGTGATATCGCACTATCTGTAGGGGTCACCCATGACTAAATAACGTAATGACTGTAGATATCTGTTAGGGTCACTATGGCTGGTACAACTGTGGTCATAGATCGTACCATGGTTTGGCCAGCCAGAAATGAGCATGAACAAATTGCCGTATTTGTATCTGATTCGATCATTCTACTTGAGTAGTTGAAAATCTGTATCTGCCATCAGAGATGGAAGTTGTAACGATTTCGTGAAATATGACACAAAAATCTAAATATTTCATAATTTATTTTCTCTATTATCTGACATGATGTATGTTTAGTTGTCTGTATTAACGTACCGATTTCTTAACAAATAAATGATTTTTCATAATGTGAGATAGGTAAACGAGGAAGGAGGTTAAATGGTAAGCTCTTAAGTCTAAGTAATTAACTTTTGAAATCTTACGATATTAATTTAATACTGTTTTCTTTACTAAGCATATGAAACTCATTATTTTCATGTCTCCTCATATGAGAAAAAAAGTGAGGAACCGCAGACTGATCTACCATTGGAAGTCTATGAGGATCCTGTAGATCCACAAGTCTGAGTGCATGACTGTTCCTACACTCTGATGAGTCCAATAACATAGTGAAAAAAGTAACTTTTATGTTTTGTTTTTGTATTTTACTACAACTTTTGACCTCAGTATATGTATGTATTGAAACTCATAAATATTTGTAACAGATTTGTAATAATTTTATTTTGCTGCATAAATTTTATTATACGCTTATTATTCTGAATCTGTATCTTATACTTATTTGTCTTAATTATCACTTGTCAAGTCACATCTGTATTACTTGAAAGATTCGAAGATTGATTTAACTCCGTTATCATTAATTTATTTGCAGTTAATTAAATTATCATGGTGTATGTATTGTAGTTAATTACAAATTATTTTATGTTTATATTTTAAAATTTTAAATAAATAATTATTATTATATATATAATATTTTTAAAATATAAAATATAATTTTGAGAAGGAAAAGACGGAGGCGTGTCAGTGAATCACGGAGGGTTCAGGCTTTCGACTGTTCCAAAAAGGAAGATGCTTTTAGAATATCCCATTTCATTCACTTGCCTTCTCTATCTCTGATCCCATCCTTCTCTTCTCTACTGCATTACCGATCATCTTCCTCAAACCAACAAATCCTCTTGTCCTCTCCCTCTCTCTCTCCCCCCCTCTTTTATATATTTATTCATAACCTCCTTTCCTTCTCTTCAACTCATCGTCGCTTTTCTCGTGCCCAAAACCCTCTTTTTCTAAATACCAACTCACAACAAAATCATGGCGACCCACCTTTCTCTGCTCCAACAAGAACAGCTCATCGAGAAGCTTGACATCTTCAAGATCCATGGCAAAGACAAACAGGGCAGGAAAATTCTTCGCATTCTTGGCAAGTTCTTTCCTGGTAAACCCAACTAAATCAAACCCCTTGTGTATATTTTTTTTATTAGCTCCTTTCTTTTTTTTAAAGAAAAAAATCAATTGAGATCAACGCGTTAAGTTGGATTTGGCTTGCGTTTGATCGATGATCAGCTCGCTTTCTGAGCGTTGAGGCGTTGAAGAAGTATCTGGAGGAGAATATATTTCCTCGGCTATGCAAGAAGCCGTTTTCGGTGTTGTACGTGCACACGGGAGTTCAACGGAGCGAGAACTTTCCTGGAATCTCAGCCCTGCGATCTGTCCACGAGGCGATCCCGGTCAACGTCAAGGATAATCTCCACGCCATTTACTTTGTCCACCCGGGCCTGCAGGCCCGTCTCTTCCTCGCCACCTTCGGCCGTTTTCTTTTCAGCGGAGGGTATGTATTCTCGCAGCTTATTTTAGCTTTTCCATACTCGTTTTCACTAACTTAAGCAGATAGGGGTGGTTTGGGTTCCATTTCCACGAAACTGATTGGGGAGGATGGTTATTGTGTGCGGCAGGTTGTACGGGAAGTTAAGGTACATCAGCAGAATTGATTATCTGTGGGAGCAGTGAGAGAGAGTGAGCTGCCGGAGTTTGTGTACGATCATGATGAAGATCTGGAGCACCGACTATGGATGGACTACGGATTGGAGAGCGATCTTCCGAGGGTCCACGGTGCACCCGCGGTTGACTCACCTGTTTCACTCTACTCCATGAGGTGCATTTCATAGAGAAAGAGAGAACGCATCTCTTTTACTGTGTTTAGCACTTGACGAAATTATAGGACTTGTATTTACTTTGTTTCCGTCTGTAAATTTTGTAAATGAAATCCAAATTTGCTTCTAGGGTTTGTCTTCTATTTTGATATAAAATTTCACTTGGAATTGAAAATTACATTTTAAAATTTGTCAACTTTAATAAAATTTAGTATTTTTTAAATTAAACTAAATGTAAATTTTCCAAATAAATTATGAGAATTCCGGCTTTCCTTGAAAAATAACCTTGCGGAAGTTGGGTATTTGGATTTTCATGTATGGTATGGTATGTATAGGCAGTCAGCACCGACGGTAAGAAGAAGATAATTATGTAGCCTAAAAATTAGAGCAAATGGCCAGAGCAGAAGTCCCTGTCTCATTCTTCTCATGGGCTCCAGAGAGAGAGCTTGGAAGCTTATTATCATATTAGTAAAGCAAGGTTAAGTTGGGATTAAAAAGGATAAGTGCGAGCCAGAATATATGACTAAAACAAAGCTTAAGAAAATTGTATCAAATTTATGAAATTGTGATATCCACATTATCTTTCCATCAAACTAGTTAGTGTTTGCAGCGAATTTGTCGGCAATTTTGTGTGTTAAAATCCATGTGTATAAAATTATAGCCTTCATCCAAAAGTTGCACCAATAGCAAAATGAGAAAATACCAAGAACAGGCATATAAACGAGAACTACATGTTGTTACCAATTTGCAAAGTACGTACCAAAGAAAGTGATCTAGGCAAAACTTACAACTTTTAGTTCATCACCTAGAGGAACATGTAAGTTGAAAGTTAGATGCAGCCACCATGCCCTTTGTTGGTATACAAGTTTTCTTCAGGTTTTAGTTCATCACCTTGAGGAACAGGTAAGTTGAAAGTTGGAAGCAGCCATGAGGCCCTTCGTGGATATACAAGTTTTCTTCAGGTTTTAGTTCATCACCTTGAGGAACAGGTAAGTTGAAAGTTGGAAGCAGCCATGAGGCCCTTCGTTGATGTACTAGTTCTCTTCAGGTTTCGCCGACGTGAAATGTAGTGACTAAGCTAAGCCATGTGAGGAGACATGGCCAGGGTCACCTCACTGTGAGATAGAAGAGAAGATATGTTAACCCATTGCAGTTTTATATCTATCCAAAAAAAAAGAGAACTCGTATGTCTGCATCATGATAGCTTCATAATCATCATAATTCGTAATTATGAAGAAAAGAGATATAAACAATACTAAAATGGAACAATATATGGAAAAATAAATCTTACACACGCAGCCTATTGCAACCTCGTTCTCTTCTCTGGTTTCTTATCAATGGGTCTATGTATTTGCTTCTGCAATGAATTTGTTTCGCTGTTCTTTGGCTTTCTGCTGTTAACAAACTCCGAGAATGATGGAATTACTGGCAGCCTTTTTCTGGGAGAATTAGTATCAGATGGTGCATCACTACTAGTGGTTGCTGGTCTACTGTAGGCACTAAGATCGTCAATATTTTCTATTTTCCTAAGCTCCAAAGGCGACACTGTCACAGGAGGCTCATCCCTGGTCATAATCTTCTCGGAAGGGGAAGTTCTGGTGCTGCTGCCAAGCCGGTTTGTTAACTCACCAGAACTTGTAGTTGATAACCACCTTATGGTGCTGGCTACTTGTGAATAATAAAATGATTTCCCACTCTTCCCATACTTCTTGTAGCATTCATTTTCAAGCAGAGCAGATGATGAATCAAACTCAATCCTGCAGGGGCGTCATATAACAAATACTCAACTAGGTCATTGATCTTTTATGTAGGTTTAATGCATTGATCAACTGACTAACTGATTTCTTACCCAAAGAAAAAATGATTAATTGAA